TTTTTTTTAAAACAAGAAAGCAACCCGATCGGATGCTAGGTGTGCTGGTAAGGCAGACACCTCTAGCACTGTCGGGGAGGCTCCATCTATTGGTGGGGAGCGGCACCTGCTGGAAACCGGGTCCAGCGTCCCATTGGATACATCTTTGTGACACAGTATTTGTCGAGGATATGGCCATTAGAGTTCGTACTTCAGAGCATCGTTCTTTCCCTCGGGGCTGCATATATTACCCTCCCAGTTTGTAGAGTTCCTACCCTCCCAGTTTGTAGAGTTCCTACTTCCACCTGGCCTGGCCTCACCCGGGATGGTGTCCTCCGTACATCACTATCTACAGTCCTCCTATTACCAGTGGTAGAACACTTATCCTTGGTATTGCAACCCCCCTTATTGTAATCTTCTGTTACTAAGACCCTTTATAATCCCGTGTCATCTTGGAGCAAACAAACCATCCAGTCTTCTCCCACCCCCTTTATGAGCTGTGAGTGGCGGTACTCCGATTTGCACATTGCCGCATTACAGCGTTCGTCGGTAGGATAGACAAACCCCCAGGTCGCAGCTGCTTGCTGACTCAGAGCACAGGTCCCTCAGTCTTACGGAGTGTGTTGCCGTGGCAGCGGGGCGGCAGGTCTTCGAATATGCCCCATCTGTTGTAGCTGTGATTGCAGCTTTTGTATTGTCCATGGCTGCCTTCCATTGCCCTCTCTGGATGTTGTGTAGCAGAGTTCGCTGTCCCCGAAGGCCGGTGCCGCCCCCACTCTCGTCACTGTCTCCTGTAGCTCAGCTTTGTCCACTGCCAATGGCATCGGACTGGGGGGCCGGGGGTGCAGGGGGGCGGGCGATGATCGGGGGTTGGGGGGGGGGGGATGATACAAGAGTGAAGTTAGTCGGGAGGTACGGGACCTGAAAGTCAGTAAGGGGCTTTCGTTGCCATGTGCCCTCTGAGCACCTCCACGGTTTCCACAGGATGGCCAATTTGTCATCCAGCTCACTGAACCTCCTATGGGGATCCTGCCAGATTTGGATGTAAGAGTCATAAATGGTCTGTTTGGCCTGTGGTTTGTTTCCCTGTCCTGAATGTTAAGGGACGCTGAACCCGCTTTCCAGCAGGCGCAGCTCCCCACCAATGGAACAGAGCCATTCGCAAACAGCGGGCGTAGAGGGGGTGTCTGCTCTTATCAGCACCTCCCCCACGCCCTACCGTGGTGTTTCAGGAGAAAAAAAAAAAAAAAAAAAAAGGGGGGGAACGGGGAAAATTCCCTGAAAAGGAAAGTCGCCTGTTGCAGAATGACGTGCGAAGGGAGAGAATGCTCCTGTGCTCAGATCTGTACGCATGCGAAGTGCTACCGCAACCTCCATCAATGCTGGGGGAGTATTAAACCACCACTACCCCCACCGTTTTAAATTAGGGGGGGAACAGTAGCACAGGTCCATGAGGGCTACCGGTAACACAGTGGGGGGAACTGGCGGAGTGGCAAAATTGGAAAATGCATGTCATATTGCCTATACGGTGCATGAAAGGTGACAAAAAAGAAGGAAAACACAACCTTGGACCTTGCATACCCTATGGCTGAACTTCAGGGCCCTCCTTACCCCATCCCTAACCCGCACAAATAAAATAAGGAATGTAGGGGGCCAGGGGGGGATGATCTGATATTCTTGAACCGCTGGTACTTTCCCCAGGCATTTGTTCCTATGCGGCGCGTCGGGGCTCGGCCTACCCGACCAATATGGCTGGTGGCACCAAGTCAAAAAAAAAAAGAGTGTGTGCCCCCGTTTGGCGTGCGATAGAAATCCGCACTGGGAGAAAGAGGCCCGGAAGTACTGGTGGTTTGATCCGACTCCTGTGGAGACCAGGAGCAGAGAGCTGTCAGTGGGGAAGAGTAACCAGGGGAATGATTGTCAGGCAACATTTGGCTATGTTTGTGTTCTACATGTGTGGTAGAATCCATATCATGTACGTGGTCGAAGAGGCTGACATGGTTCATGCTCTATAATGAAGGACAAATCATATTTGATTGAAGACCACCAGTGCTTCCCCAAAATGCGGCTGTGCACAAGTTGGGATACATTGGCCTGCGGCTACATGGGCGGACTCTTTCATGTGGAAACGTCTTGGCTTTGGGCCTCGCTGCACTACTCTGCAAATGTGCAAAATGGGACTGAATCCACCACTAGAACATGGAAAGATACATTGCCATCTTTTTTGTCTTTTGTGCATGTGGAGAGTAGTGCAGCGAGGCTCTTTCTTGCGATACTTGGGAAAGCTGCTGCTGGTTTAAGGTTTCATGTTTCAGCAGACTTGAACACCATACGGCATGGCAAGCAGAATCTGCCTCTTCTTTCCTTTCCTTTTCCTTTTTTCCTTTTTTTCTTTCACCTTCTGATGTCAGACTTTGTTGTTGGTCTGGTAGTCCATGAGCTCCCCTGCTTTCTTCTGATAGAATACTGCACATGGCCCTGCTGACTTGCTTTCTTGTGATCAAATTGCGCAGATGGCCCTGCTGAGATTCTATACGGTGCATTCCTTCAGGAGTACCGGGGAAGTCACAGAGTGTATGGCCTGACCAAGTGGGTCCCTCCTCCTGGTATGAAAAATTTCCCCTTCCTTTTCCTTCTTGTTGCTCTGCGTGTCCTCAATCATGTGTGCTGATTGCATTTATTTTTGTTATAATCTTTCTCTGCCCTCCCCCTTCGGAAAAAAAAACATGCAGCCTTAGGCCCGCGGTCTCTTTCCATTTTGGAAGGTGATTCTCTGGTTCTTTTCCACTAGCATGGCTTACACCACCGCTGAGCCTCTTTTTCCCTAGGCGGATTTGTGCTCCAAGCGAAAGAAAAAGACTTTGAGAGCACGCAAAACAGATCTGACAGGCTGAGCCCCAATTTGAAAAGACTGGGTGCATATATGGCCGCGTCGGAATAAAATAGTGGGGAATGTACTGGTGGTTCAAAACAATAACCGACTTGACGCCCCTCCTCGTTTAGGCGGGGAGATCCATGGCCTAATTTGAAGGAGTGAATTGGACAGAGCCGCTCAGGGTCAAGCCCCGTTGGTGCTAATGTTCATGCTATCTGATCAGGAACCAGGCCACTATCTCTGGTCAGGAACCAGGCTGACCCGAAAGCTTAAACCACCAATACTTGGCCCAGCTATCGGCCGCGGAAAACAATAGAGTAGAAATCTGTGTTACTAGCCGGGCGGCCCGGGATGCCTCAGATGGGCCCGGGTGGCCCGGCCGGGTCAGGTCCGGGCAAAGTCCCGGTCAAGGTCCCGGGCAGTCCCAAAGCCAAAAAAAAAAAAAAAGTAAGAAAAAAAGTCATGCGGAGTTGCAAACCAAACATCATTTGCCTGAAGGTGACCACAAAATTCGCTGTGGAATTCGAAAATAGAAATAAAAATAAAATACTAAATTATATCATATCCCTTTAGCCCCCTTTAAGCCCCTTCGAGCCCTTTTGAACCCCGCTTTTACCCCATAGACACCCTTTTTGCAAGGAAGATGAGCGATAGCGAACTTCAGAAATCAAACAGCATTATACACACAAGACCAGATAGTCATGACCTCGAACCAACAGCAGAATTGCATCACGAGTTTCACCAAATAAGAACACACCAAGAGCTCATAATTGACAATGCTGGTATAGTCTCATCATCATCATCAATGAAGAACCAATGTTGATATCCTATCTGGCGCTCGACGCCCAGACTACAGATGGCAGAACCCTTGTTTTCAGGCTTTCAGGCCGAAACGACACAGGGCCTGTAGGCCCTTGTTTTCAGGCTTTCAGGCTGAAAACGGCACGGGCCTGGAAATGGCCCGTGCAGCCTGTTGCAGGCGCAGCATGTAACACCAGGGGTGTACCAACTGAGCTAGGCCAGCACTTTCACATCTCTGTTGGATCTTTTTTTTTTTTTTTTTTTTTTTTTT